CATATATTCCCGACATACATATATTCCTGAAGTTATATATATTTCGGTAGTGACCTATATATGTATATTTCATATTTGTAAATATGTAATAAAAAGTGGCAAACAAGCAGCATTGGCAATAATCGGTAGATTGAGTGCTTCACGACAGCGATTTACGATTGAAATTAAATTTCTTACATTCATTGCCTTTTCATTCTTATTGTTGCATTCCCCATGGCTTAGAATCCCTAGCTTGTAAGATATACATACATATTAAAGAGTATACATAGACTCGTTTCTGTGTCTGTTTGTTTCTTGCTGGTTTGTGAACTGTGGTGCAACTGTCTGCGTATGGTCAACAATATTGGCAAATCTGTCAAATGTTAAGTCGATAAATAAGACAAAAATATTGTTATCAGTGGTCAACAAAGTTAAAGTGACTGCACAACAATTTGGAAAAGCACTTAAGCTAATATACAGAGCACTCATTGTTGTATGGGACCTTGTAAAGATATAACCTTCTAAAGGGGTTGTAACTAGTTATAAAAATACGATTCTTAGACTAGTTTACTTACAAACATTTAGCATGCAGAGCATAGATGATGGTTTGCTATAATACTTGCAGGTATGGTATTAGTTGTAAACAGATGGTTTTTGAACTAGTTAATTTACCCACCGATAGCATACACAGTATAGATGGTTTGCTATGTTATTTGAGGGTATGAAACTAGTGCCGAACTGACGCTTTTTGGACTTGTTAACTTTATGACATGAGACCTTGAATGTATGTAACAAGAAACAGACCATTTTAAAACTAATTAACTTACATACAGTTAGTATAAAGAACATTAGCGGGCTGTTATAACTCTTGAGGGCATGGAACCAGTCGACACTGGCGAATGATTTTTAGTTAATTCACATAAAGTTAGCATAGGGAGCACGGGTGGTCTGCTAATCTGCCGAATTGGTGATTTTTTGACTAGTTAACTTTCTTCACTTCAAATAAGGATAATCGTTTATATAAGCGTATAGAGCATTTATGTTTGTATGAACCCTGGAGTCACTAGTTACGAACTGATACTTTTTCGACTAGTCATCTTTGTGTCTTTTTTCATAGTTCTATATGGCGAATTTTACATTGCAAACTTACCCCAGACAATGTTAACTGCGCTCCTTCTCTTTCTTAATAGTTTAGACTAGTCCGAAATCTTATATTTGATGTTCTACTGCTAACACAAAGTAATATAAATGTAATAAAAATTCCTCACAAGATTAAAACTATGAAAGTAGGACACAAAATTGAGAATAACTTTATATTCAAGAGTTTTAGTGCCAGATATAACCACGATCCAACATTCATGTATTTCTTTTTATGATTTGCGTATGTTTTAAAGTTTTGGCGTTTCCTATAGGGATAGCTGTCAAAGTGTTGAACTTGTATTCATGTTTATGTTCCTTATACTTAGATTATATACAATTTATCATGTATGTAGAGACCTACAACGGAAAAAGTTAAAACAAATCGTGAAATTTATTTCTTGCTTTATTTGCGAAAAATTTAGAGGGCTCTGTATTAGAAGAGTTCCAATATTTACTTTTTCCTATACATATATATTTCTATACCCTAAAGTATTAATATATCAAGTTGACCACAAAGTTTGTAACACCAGGAAGGACACGTCGGAGGCCCTAAAGAGTATACATAGCGTGACGACCAGAATCAATTTAGTCATGCCTGTCTGTCCACCCGTCTGTATAAAGCAGTTTTCGGGATATTGATTTGAAACTTGGCGCATATGGTTTCCTCCAAAAGAAGCTGCTCGTTTGTTGGAAGCACCCATATCGGCCCATTATAGAGTATAGCTGTCATATGAAACTTCTTCATCAGAATCAAAACCTTCTATGAAAATATTTTTTATTTCACAAAATATCTTCACTAAATTTCACAAAGATTATTATCTAAGGCGGCGCTACAATCTCTAAACAAATTTAACAGAAAGGAAACTAGTTCATAATTGGTTCATATTGTACTAGTTAAATAACTAGTTTTCATACTGATTGATTTTTTAGTGTCACTATGTCGAGTATGCATTTTAGTAACTTACTTTATAAACTAGTTTGAAAGATATCAAAAAAGTAGTAGTTGAGTTACTAGTTACTTTAACACAACAGGTTTATAATGAATGCTTGATATTATTGAAAAAATGTGCCATTTTACACGTACCGACATACTTTCACGCTTGCACTCTCATTTCTCAGGCAGCCCTTCATATACACACACACTCACGCGCCCTTGTTAACTCTTACGCTCGCAGTTAGTCCTTGCTAAATTGCTAGCTTCACACTTATTCTTGCAAGAAAAATTATGTCTTTTGAGTATTTGTAATTAAATTCTTGTTTGAGAGATTCTACACTATTCATAATGGTCTTTACTGCTTTCTTGCCACCCGCCGACCACTTGTTGTTGGCATTACACAAGTAAGAAGTCAACGAAGAAGAAGAGGCGGAAGAAGAAGCAAAAATAGAACTTAATGACTACAAATTTAATTTGGCCATTTATTTCACACTTTCACACATACACTTTTCCTTTCACTTAACATACATACCAGCGTTGCTTGCAGGCGACACAACACAATAATAACAACAACAACACGACGCAGATTCATTTGAGATTCATTTGAGTCTGGCGGCCGGTTCTTAACTGAAGACAAGCTACAAGTGCGGCACATACACATACAAACATAATTTATGTGTATTTATGTGCATGCATTTGCCCGCGCGTGTGTGTGTGTCTGCGTGCAATTTGCTCGCCGTGGGCCACAAAGCCGTCAACGTCACACATTTGCGCGCATAATTAAATGCAGCGACGACAGATTTGTGCGCCATAGCCTAGGCTTGTGTTTGTGAGCAAGCATATTGAAAATTCACACACACACACACACGTACGTACATATATAATAATACAGCTCCAAACAGTAGTCACGGTCTGCAGCGCTTTAATAAGCAGCATTAAACAAAACGGACGCGGGTCTTTGGCGCAGGCACTCAAAGCAATTACGTGAAAGTGGGTGGAGAAAGAATTATATTACAGCAACAAATTGAAGAGTGTGTAAAGAATTGAGAAAAAGAAAATTCACATTGAAATAAAGAAAATGCTGGAGCAAAGCGCAGAAGAATGCTGCATTTATGCGAATTGTAGAGTCGCTTAATTGTTTTCCTGCAACGCATTTGCAAAAGGGCACTCAAAAGGTGTAGAAGTGTGTATGTGTGGGATTGTGCAGAAAAATGGCATAAAAAGCACATGAAAAAATTTCAAAATGGCGGTTAAGAATGTGTTGTAAATTGTAGGCGAAAAGGCAGTAATTTTGAGGGTGAGGTCAAGCAAAAAATTAAACAAAAACTTACAAAAATTAAAGGAAAAGAAAATATCAAGGAACCAAATTAGTTAATATATGATACAAAATTAAAAATAATAAGTAATTATTAAAAATTTAAAAATAAATAAAATTAAATAGTTATAATAAAATTAAATAAAGTATTAAAAAAATGATAAACATTTTAAAAGAAAAATTATAAAAAAAATGAACAAAATAACTAAATAAAAAGTATCTACTTGAAAAAAAAACTAAAACAGAAAGAAAATTAAAAATAAATTAATATTATAACAATAAGTAAAATAGTGTAGAATAAAATTTTTTAACAAATTAATAGAAGAAAAAAAGGCAGTAATTAAACGAATTAAAAAATAATAAGAAAATAAATTAAAAGCAAATAAAATAATGACCAAAATGACTAAATAAAAAATTGCTACAAAAAAAAAAACTAAAACAAAAAAAAATTTAAAATAAAATAATATTATAAAAATAAATAAAATAGTGAAGATTAAAAAATGTTAACAAATTAATAGAAGAAAAAATTGCAGAAATTAAACGAATAAAGAAATAATGCGAAAATAGCTTAGTTAAAAAAATATATATAATATATGTACAAGTATATACATACTTATATGTGTGTGTAACGTATATATAAAAAAAATTTAATTTCGGCTGCACCCTTCACAAATACAAAATATTCCTTATAAGCACTTGATTCCCATCGCTCAGTTTGTCTGGCAGCTATATGCTATAGTGATCTGATCTAAACAATTTCTTGAAGCCTTGCATTATTGCCTTACGCAATAACATCTAAATCTAACAAATCTAGTCAAATGAAAAAGTTTTCCATGCAAGCACTTGAATCCGAACGTTCAGTTTATGTGGCAACCGCAGCATGCTATAGTGATCCGACATCAGCGGTTTCGGCAAATAAGCAGTTTATTGCGGAGGAAAGGACGTGTGCAAATTTTCAGAGAGAGATTCAGATCGATATTTCAAAAACTGAAGGACTAGTTCGCGCATATATAGACAGACATATAGACAGACGAACATGGTTAAATCGACTCAGCTCATCATGCTCATCATTTATATATATATGTATTGTTTTATAGGGTCTCCTACGTTTCCTTCTGGATGTTACAAACTTCGTGGAAAATTTAATATAGCTTGTTCAGTGTACAAATATATCAGTTTTCTCAAAAAATTCAAAATAAAACCCAAGATCACATAAGAGTTGCCAAGAACTCGAAAAAAGGGGGCCAATAGTTAAAACAATATTAAAAATAAAATTAAGACTTCAATTCTTAAACACCAACCAAAATTAAAATAATAATGTCCAAATAATGCTCAAAGCATAATAAATCACTCAAAAGTTTGTGAAAACTATATACAAGAAAGAAAGACTACAAAAACAATTAATGAAATTTTCTTAAAATACAAAAATGTGTATTGCCGGCAACCAAAAACAAAAACAAGAATAAACATAAGGTGAACAAAAACAAAAAAAAATTAAAATAGTTTTTTTATAACATTGCGTAAAGCCGCTAGCCAAAAAAAAAGAATGATAACAAAGTAAATTAAATAATGAAAATAAAAATAAAAGAAGGCGTTATAATAATAAAACAATATTACAAAATAATTAAATATCTAAAACCAACCAAAATATTATTAAAATACAAAAGTTTTAAGTATACGGAAAAAAAGGTAACCTGAAAGTTTTTAGTAACTTGAAGGTAAAATAGTTGACCGAAGATAAAATATACGAAATAAATATAAAATAGTGAATGTTTTCCCAGAGAGCGAAAAATCATCCAAAATGGAAAATAATTAGTAAAAATAAAATAAATTAAATAAAAATATTAAGAATTTAACAAGATCACACAAAGGATACCGGAAACCAAGGAAAAAAAATTGTAGAAACAGCGCTAATATCGTTATTGATGTAAAACTGGCACTAGCAAAGTATAAAGTCGAAAAGTAAGCGGAATTGCGCCAGCAACATAAAGTGAAAATTAAAAGGAAATGCTTTGAAAAGTGGTTAAGTGCAATAAAAAGTAGCAAAAAAAAATTTTGTCATAACGAAAGTGTTAACGGTAAATTACACACTTCAAAACAAAAAAATAAAAAATAAAGACTATAAAAAATCTCAAAAAGAAGCTTTTTAAACTTACATTTACACTACCTTGCCCGCCGACCAACTTGGCGTATACGTAATAAAAGCGCGCGCGTGTGATTTCTAGGAATGCAGCATTTGTGCGTATAGGTTAGCTGCGACTGCTTCAGCGTAGCGAGCGAGCGAATGCTGCTGCTGCCAGATTACGCTGTACAACATGGATGGCGAGAATCGGATTATACTCAATGTGGGTGGCATAAGGTGAGTGGCGTTGCGGTAATACTTACTATATTCCAGCTTTTGTTGTCGCCTTTATTTTCAGCTATTTTCTTTATGATATACTGCTTGGAAAATAGTGCATTGATGTTGTTGGAATTGTGTGTTGTATGTATGTGTGCTATAAACAGCGCTTAGCTGCGTAAGTGTGGGCATTTTGGATGGCGCTTGCACAAGTAATACCTTCAAATATGCGCTGCAAAAGTGATGCCTTCGCTCTGCGTGACTTTGAGTAACGCATTATTATATTTTTTAATTAGCACTATAATCGCACTATTAATTACGACTTAATGAAAGTTAAGCCATTTTTAATTCTTTTATGTTACCTGAATGTCACTTAAGCCTTTGGAATTTGAAAAATCTTTTACTAAAGCTGTAAGTTACTAGCATAAATTGAATTGAACTCATCATTGGTCTAAATTTTCTTCTACCAAATACGGTATTAAAATAAAAAATTTAATCGCAAACATCGGATTGAAAAAAGAATTTAACTCAAATATGAATTAAAAACGGAATTTAACCCTAATATTAAGTATTTATAGGACTAAAATTTTTGTATGTTTTGATTAAGAATTGTAAATCGAATTTTTAACACAAAATTCAACCATCCATGACAGATAATAGATTATTTTTTCTATAAAATAGAACTGAAACCTTTGAAAATGGTAAAAAATAATGTTAGTATGAAACCCTTTGGTAAATCGTGAATCGATTACAATGAAATTTGGTATCATATTAACTTATTTTGAAAGTCATAGCTTCCCTTAGTTTTATTACTATATATTACTTCCCATCAGCGAAAAGTTTACTTAAATCATTGGGATCATAGAAGTGGAAGCGCTGATTGTATTAATTTTTGACATTGCTCAGGTATTCTGGAGAACTTATTATCCAGCAATTTTATAAATATAAACATATATGGTATATGGAGTAAAGTCAGCCGCACGTTTCAAAATCGTGAACATCCGTTATATGGAAATAAGAATTTCCCAAATCTAGATATCGTTTCTTTATAATCATCTACTTGAAAGAAAGTAACGTCATCTCCAGATTGCTAAAATGTGAGGGATTTTTTTGGCGGCTAATATCAATCTCGCTCACATCATTAGGTTCGCTAAAGGTGTGTCTACCGAGGTATTTCAATCTGTGCCTAAAAGATTCGAACTCGCCTTCCTCCATATATCCTTTGAAAAATGCGCCCGCTAAAATATTTAGCCGCACTTTGTGTGAGCCTATTAGACAATGTCCAGTAGAACACCTACAATTGCGGCGAGATTGACTTTACTAAGAGTAAGTGGTTCATTGATCATCTTACGGTTCACTTTGGGCCAGAAGGATCTCACAGCCGCACAAGTTCTGGTTTTTGGTTTTGGTTGAGTGCCCTCCCTACATTTTCCTCCGATTCCGCTGTGAGTCCGGTCACACCCAAACAAGTTAAATACGGAAAAAGCTTTATGCTATTGCTAATGAGTTCATGCACTCCTTGATTAGCTTTAAGCACACAGTCAGCGAGCTTAAAGTCAGTATAGCCGCTCTGTTACTTGATTGAATGTACACCTTCCTGAAGGAAACGGCACTTCGAAGCAGAGCATCCTCTGCCACTTTCATGCCAGCCACCTTCGCTTGAAATACACTACAGCGGTCTGAAGCTGGAGTTGATGGAGAGCCCTATCCAGCGTTTAAAGGTTCTTATCTTAAAAAATAGTACCTAAAATCGGATCTAAGTTATCCTCTCTTACAGCGATACGTTTATATGCTTTTGTACCTTTATTTTATTCTATTTTCTTATTTACTTACCTAAAAGAGAAATTAGAACCAAAGAGCAACCTAATAGCTGACATAAGGGTGGCTGCTTGCGTTCGAGCGCTCCGTCGAGCTACCCTTTCTTAATTATCTCCAAGAGCTTAACAAACAAGTAACCAAGCTTACAGCTGAATGTATTTAGACTAAGCTTATAAATAAATTATTTTCTCATATTGCCGACGGGTGAACATTAATGGATTGCATTGAAATGGTAAGTTATTATGTTTGGTCTAATTTGGCTAAGTTCAGCTATCTAAAGTTCTTCTTAATAAACAATATTTAATGTTTCAGTATTTTCTTTTAACATACTTACCGTAAAATTAGAGATATATATGTCTCTAAACTATCGGGTAGTTTTCAAGGAGCATAGGAATTTTTTCATTCCAGAATCACAATTATCTTCAACGGGTTCCACAAATCCACTTAATGAACAAAATGCACTAGACGACTGATATACATATGACTGACAAGGTGATATCATGACGCTTAGAGTGAGCTCTATCTCTCTCTTTTCTTTGCCTAAACAATATTTTATCGTGTAACTAAACTAAATTGCAACATATTCCGCAATTTTTAGTATCAAAGTTCCATTTGTAAGCGCTTTAATATATCGTAACATTTATTTACCGTTAAAATTTTTGCATAGCAACAAAAATTAATAATTTTTAATTTTTTCAAAACGGTAGCCCCCGCATTTAATGTGCTGTGAAACCAATCTCCAATTATTATATTAGTAATTGCCTTTCTTTCACATCATTACTGTCCATGTAAGTCTCTCTATTGCAGCGAAAAGCAATATATGATTGAACAACAACAGTTGTTCTTTGTTGGTTGCAAAGCTATTGACTGTATTGATGTGGCATCAGCAAAGTGACGGAAAATGCTTTTAAACACACAATTGTTGGCGCTTAATTCACCGCCAACCAGCAATGATTGTGATAGTTTTTTGCGGCAGGCATTCATAGCAACAATCAATACGAAACATAACTGTTTGTAGGTAACAGCCTATTAGGAAATTTGAATGAGACTGAAAGTGAAACATATTCAGCATATATTTAGTGTGAAAGTCATCTATCTCATCTGTTTATTGAGAGCACATTTCAGGCAAGGCATTTTGAGTTCGACAACCAGTTATTATAATCCTTTTATGACACTAGTTGATTCTTGTAGCCAATATTTTTAATGATTGCAGAGAGTTCTAGAAGAAGATAGTAGTATACATACAATAACTTACAACAAAAATTGTTAAATGGTTTATTTTTTACCGATCTAAGACCAAAAGCTACAACCTTAACGTCTTCGAGTTATCTGCCTGTATTTCATCACCCAGACAGCCGTCTGTTTTAAATAGGTATATTTTAAGTTACGTATGTAGTGTTATTTGGTTTTTTCTTGTTATAGAAACTATGATGTACCTCTTCTTGCAAGAGCACTACGTACAATAAATGGGCTAACAGTGATTTTTTTTAAAGAGCAGACTAAACCTAAAATTTTTAAAATTTTATTTCTTATTTTTAACATATTTTAATAGACTATCTCTTTAAAAATACCATACTAAAATTTTGAATGAATATTTCCAATATTATTTGAGTTACAGACTTTTAAAGTATATACGTAGCCGCTTAGTTCAATCAGCTCTATAGTTTATCTTCAAATGTGTTTTTTTCAAAACAGCGTTTTTCGAATTTCCTGCAGTGATTACTCGGAGACAACTAACCCAACCACTAACAACTTTGTTCCGCATGTTCTGTATATATTGTAGTTCCCCATACAATGACCTACTAGTTATTTGATCTAATAAAAAATTGAATTTTGAAGGCCAAAAATTCTTATTAAATTATATATCAGCATGATGAGCTGAGTTCATTTAGCCATGTCCGTCTGTCCGTATGTCTATATATATACGAACTAGTCTCTCAGATTTTAAGCTATCGATGTGAAATTTTACACCTTTGTGCAAGTACTTGTATAGGAAACTTTTTTCTTTGAAGTAATATCTTCACGAGTTATTCCTTAAGGCAACAATGTAATCTCCGAAGAAATTGTATATATCGGATAACTATAGCATATAGCTGTCATATTAACTGAACGATCTGAATCAAGTGCTTGTATGAAAAGCTCTATCATTGGACGAGATATCTTCACGAAATTAAGCACGAGTTATTAATTAAAGCAACCATTTATTCTACGAAGAAATTGTTCAGATCAGACCACTATAGCATATAGCTGCCATACAAATTGAACGATCGGAATCAAGTAAATTTCACTTCGAATATATATTATTTTTTCTTTATCGCACGAAAGTTTAGTAGTTTGTAAACTAGTTCGGAACTAGTTCGAAAATTACTAGTTTAAAGTAAGAATAGTAAAAAAAAATTATAAAATTAGTTAGAGAATATATTGCAATATTTTTGAAACGTTTATTTTCTATAACTTATTGAATTTTATTTTGGAGAAAAACAAAAAAATAATTTTTTTGGTCAAATGTTTTTAATTTTTTTTTTAAATTTAGTTTTAAAATAATTTTTTTTTTAAGTAAAATAAATAAACAATTTTTTTCAAATTTTTTTCTATTTATTTTAAAACATCTCTTCTTTTAAATTATTTTTTTCTTTTATAAAAATAAAGCATAATTTCATTTCTTGTATTCAAGATAATTAATTTCCGTTTGCTTTCTTTCTTTCCAATTTTTACACTATTTAAATGTTTATATAGTCATTTTATTTGCAGCATATATTTTCGAGTCAAAAATTTTCCTACTGGACACACAAACCGCACGATTACATCCGTCAGTATGTAAAAACAGCAAATGTACAAGCGATCATATGGGTACATAGCGCAAGCTCAGCGCACAGAACCGCAAAACCGCAGAGCTTTCTGCACTGTTTTCAAGTTTTCCATTCAAATATTACAATCATTTTTTTTTTTGCTTTTGTTTTACCGTTTTGTGTTTCATTACACATTCATGTTTTTTAAACATTTACGCTGGCATTTTTTCCCATTTAGTGGGAATTTTTACCGAAAACACACAACTCACCTACACACTCGCTCTCACACATACACAACACACACATCACAGCTGCTTGGTAGACACATCCGCCGCATATAGTTTTGCCGTTTTTACCGTTGCTCACCTTTTAACGGTACCTATGCATATTATTTTATTTATTTTTTCACCGTTA